AGATTTTTTTTTTTTAATTTACTTATTCAACAGAGAGAGATAGTAAGAGAGGGAACACAAGCACAGAGGAGTTGGAAAAGGAGAAGCAGGCTCCCCACTGAGCAGGGAGCCTGACATGGGCCTCGATCCCAGGACACCAGGATTATGACCTGAGCCGAAGGCAGACACCCAATGACTGAGCCACCCAGGCACCGCAAGGCCACTTTATATTTTAAAGGCAGTATCTTCCCTGTCAGGGCATACTGCTTCTGGCCTAATATTCAGTGGTATGGAAGGCTTCTGGCCTTGAAGGGGTCTCAGATCAGGAAAGGCATATGGTACAGAGATGTAAGTCTGGGATGTAAGTATTTCTGCTACTTGGGTCACAAAATCCAAGAGGTGGGGCGCCTGGGTGGCTCAGTTGGTTAAGCTTCCAACTCTTGGTTTTGCCTCAGGTCATGATCTTGGGGTCCTGGGATCCAGCCCTGAGTCAGGCTCCCATGCTCAGAGTGGAGTCTGTTTGAGATTTTTTCCCTTCACTCTCCCTCCCTCTCTGCTCCTCTGCGCTCACACTCTCTTTCTCTCTCTTAAACAAACAAACCCAAGAGGCTATATGATCTTAGGAGTGTCTGTGGTAGGAAATATGCCATATGGAGTTATGGCAAGTCCCAGCTGGAAAATCATATCAGAGACCTCTAGGATTCTAGAGCTAATCCATGCCATCTGCAGCATAGAATTATACACCTTTTAATAAACAGCTCCTTAGATGTTTCTGGGTCCTGATAGAGAGAGAGCACCTAACCATGGGTCACTAATTGATCTTATAGTCAGAACTGCCCAGCATACATCAGGTTTTATTTGAACCATGATGTCATAATGTTGGGCAGGTCCAACAGGAATCCACTGTTAAGATGGAAGCAATGCATTTAAGATTGGATATGAGTCTGGGCAGAGGCACAAGTAAACTGCGTAAGCAGATAGCCCAGCCTCCTTGTGCTGGTACCTCTCACTCGGCTCATACCTGTGGCTGCATGGGGACCAAGAGAGGGCACTTGTGACAAGCTAACAGAGGGAGGACAAAAACTAAGTTTGGTATGTGGGCGCAAGCAGCTCAAAATGAATGGCAGCTGCCCTGCAGCCTCACTGAGGAGGGGACTAGAAAGATGGTAACGAGGAAAAAATTCCTACCAGTGGGCATGGTTCTGGGTAGTTCAAATGATCGTTTACTTTGTATGAAAGTGACCTGCGCTTAGAATAAATGTAGATTCATGAGCAGTGGCTTGCCCTGGAGGAAGAAATATTGGAAAATCTGGGATTGAAGGGAGTCCGGGGTAGAGGGATGTGTATGGATTCTTCGGAGTGGGCACAGTGTGATCATTATATTCCCAGCTATCCACCAGGGGGCGTCCACCACAAAAAAGGTACATTGCGGAGACTGCATCACAGCCTGTTCCCTTCCTGTTCTTCCTCCTTCCTGTCTTCATTCTGAGAATACTCCTCCTTAACAACCTAATCTCTGCCTGAGGGGAACTCAACCTGCAACAAGTGAATGTACTGTATACTATGTAACCATCCCTTCAGCAAGGTCTTCACAAGAATACCCCATATTTAAACACGTCTGCATTTTCGCAGCAATATATGCCAAATGGAGTAAATGCAAATTATAAAGACCCTCGTATCAGATTCACATTTTGCAGCCAAATGAGTTTCAAAAAATATTTGTCTGAAGTTTTCGAATTTTAGAACTCAAGATTAAGGATTGTAGAGCAGTATTTAGGAGCTAAATGTCTTTGTTTTTCCAAGACAGTTGCAGTTTAACAAACCATGCCTTATGAGCAGGGCCCTTCAAATATTTGAAATTTACATAGATAAATACCGAAGTGTTTTAAATTAGCCTGTAATTTGTTGACCTAAACTATTCTAAGAAAGGAAATTTAGGAGTTACCATATCTAAGGAAACTGGGTGTGTAATTTCACAAAATAGTTTTCAGTGTTTAGCCACTTGCCACAAGTTAGGTGTTGAAAGCTTGTATGCATAATTATTCTTTTAACTAATATAAAAATATTTAATAATAATGAATATTAAATTAACAATAAGTTGTCATTGTTTCCAAAGACTTGTTTTTATATGCTATCCCTCTGATTCTTACTCCCCATCCTTTTGATCATTATAATAACTCTGGGAGAGAAGAGAGCTATGATTATTACCAGCCACATCTTAAAGAGGAGAATACAGAAAACTAAATAGTTCATTTAAAATCACATGAGTAATATGTGGGCAAAGCCAGAACCCACAGCCACTCTAATCCCATGTCCTTTATTCTTCTTACTCAATCACAGGCACAAAATGAAGAAAACCATAATAGTGGTATGCTGTAGCTTGTAAAACCTTCTTCTTTTAAATGAATATATGGACAAATGTAGTGATTTTTTTTTTCCAGTTTTTCCAGTAGATAAAACAATGAAGAAATAATGTCCCATCACTTATTTCAAGCAAAGAAACTGACTGGAGCAAATATGAAGACATATATTTACTGAATTATTGATGAAAGCTAAACTGGTTACTTTGTTTTTTTTTTTAAAGATTTTATTTATTTATTTGAGAGAGAGAGAATGAGAGACAGAGAGCATGAGAGGGAGGAGG